TTTAGACATAAAAGGAGGGGTGAGTCTAGTTATAAGATAATTAACAATATGCGCTTACCAAGGCTCTTTAATAGCTAAGGCACATAATACTGAATTAGGAAAGGAATCACGGGTGAGTTCAGAAGAGTCTACTCCCCGTGTATCATCAAGTAGCCTACTTAAGCGATCGGCTACATGGTTCTCTACTCCTGCTCGATCCTTTATTTCAATGTCAAATTCCTGGAGAAGTAATGCCCATCGAATCAATCTTGGCTTCGATTGTGGTTTCTTCAGAAGATAGCGAACAGCTGCATGATCAGTAAAAACAGTCACATGAGAATTCAACAAGTAAGGCCTAAACTTTTCTAAAGCGAAAACAACTGCAAATAGCTCTTTTTCTGTTCGTGTATAGTTGATTTGAGCTGCATCCAGTGTTTTCGAAGCATAGGCAATGACTCTTGAGAGCTTCTCCTCCTCTTGGCCTAACATAGCTCCTACAGCAAAATTAGAAGCGTCACATGAAATTTCAAAGGGTATAGTCCAGTTGGGTACAACAAGAATAAGAGGAGAAATGAGTTTAGACTTCAAATCATCTAAAGCAACTCTACAAGAATCATCAAAATCAAACTTCACATCTTTTTGTAAAAGCTTTGAGAGAGGTAAAGCAATCTTGCTAAAATCTTTTATAAACCGCCTATAGAACCCCGCATGACCCAAAAATGATCTAATATCTTTAACACAAGCAGGATAAGGCAAAGAAGATATAACCTCAATCTTAACTTTATCAACTTCAATTCCCTTTCTAGAAATCAAATGCCCTAGCACTATCCCTTCATTGACCATAAAATGACACTTTTCGAAATTTAAAATCAAATTCTTTTCAATGCATCTTTTTAAAACTTTTTTAAGACTAGCAAGACAATCATCAAAAGAACCACCATAAACAGTAAAATCATCCATAAAGACTTCCATACATTCCTCTAAGAAATCATAGAATATAGCCATCATACAACGTTGGAAAGTCCCTGGAGCATTACATAACCCAAAAGGCATCCTTCGATAAGCGAAGGTACCAAAAGGACATGTGAAAGTGGTTTTATCTTGGTCCTCTGGTGCAATAGGTACTTGAAAGTACCCAGAGAAACCATCTCGAAAACAGTAATGAGATTTGCCTGCAAGTCTCTCAAGCATCTAGTCTATGAAAGGAAGAGGGAAATGATCTTTTTGTGTGGCATCATTGAGTTTTCTATAATCTATGCACACACGCCAGGAATTCTGAACTCTTGTAGGAATAAGCTCATCCCTATCATTTCTAACCACAGTAACCCCACTCTTTTTAGGCACTACATGTATTGGACTAACCCACTCACTATCAGATATGGGATAGATGATCCTAGCACTTAGAAGTTTGGTTATTTCCTTCTTAACCACATCAAGGATCAAGGAGTTTAGTCTTCTCTGGGGTTGTCTCACTGGTTTGGAACCTTCACTAAGCAAGATTCTATGTGTGCAAATGGCTGGACTAATTCTAGGAATGTCCGCTAAAGTCCACCCAATAGCCCTCTTATGCTCTCTCAATACAGTAAGGAGTCTTTCTTCCTCAACCTTAGACAGGGAATTAGCTATAATGACAGGTAATCACTCATCAGACTCTAGAAAGGCACACTTTATAGTGGGGGGTAGGGGTTTCAAATCAAGCACAGGAGGTTGCACAATAGAGGGAATCAAATTATGAAGTTCAAGAGAGAAAAGATTACTCCCCTTTCCTTCAACCAGTGAGAGTTCCTCAACCTTGCAGATAGCTTCCTCTCCAAGCGTTGAACCAACTTCTAGTTGATCTACAGCAACCGCCTTAGAGGGAATCTCCTCCATGACTTCTTCCTCCATGTCTGAAATAGCAACAGAAAATCTTTCCCCAAGGGAATTATCACTGACAATAGAGGGATCAAAGTCTAATTTGGAGTCAAGGGAGGAAACAAAAAATGCATGTGGGAGGGAAAGCATACAATTAAACACAATGTAATCAAGGCATTTAACTTCACCACCACATGAGCAAGAAGAAGGTGTAGAGTAAAGAGATGAAAAAGAAGAAATCGTGTCATCCTCATTAGCAGAGTCAAATGAATAAGATTCACAACTGGAGGAATCATCTTGCAATTCAAACTCAGAACAAGCATCATCAATAGCAATATCAATCATATTAACACCCAAAAGAGAATAGTCTTCATAAGGATGCTTCATTGCTTCATACATGTTAAAACAAACCTTATGATCTCCTACTTCCATAGTGATGGTACCTTCTTTCATGCTAATCATAGTGTTAGCAGTCCTCGAAAAAGGTCTACCAAGAATCAGTGTGGTGTCATGAACAAGCTCTGAAGACATGTCAAGTACATAAAAATCAGCAGGAAAGGCCAAATCCTTAACCTGGACTAAAATATCCTCTATGATGCTTTCCGGATACCTAATAGTCCTATCAGCTAACTGGAGTACTACAGTGGTTGACTTAAGAGTCTTGACTCCTAGTGAAGTGTATACAGACTTAGGCATGACATTAATAGCTACTCCTAGATCTAACAAGGCTCCCCCTATAGAAACTTTTCCTATAGTGCAAGGGATAGTAAAGGATCCAGGGTCTTGGCATTTCACAGGAATTTGCAGTTTAAACAGGGCAGACACATTTGAGCTCACTTGGACTCTTTCATTTGGTCTAAACTTTCTCTTATGGGTGCACAAGTCTTTAAGGTATTTAGCATAAGCAGGAACCCTCTTAACAAGATCAAGCAAAGGAATATTAACTTCCACTCTACTGAACAAGTCAACAATATCTTTTTCATACTTAGTTTCAGTCTTTCTTTTGCTTATCAAGTATGATTTAGGAAAAGGAAGGTCCTTGAGATTTACCTCTTTATCATTCAGCTTATCGGCTCCATACTTACTTGGCTCAGATTCCACAGTTGTCTCCTTGCCATCATGTTCCTTTGAGGCTTCTTTCAGCTTTAGCCTCTTCTCCTTGGAGCTTTCAGAATGCTTCACTTTTGTAGGTGCTTGTGGCAGCTCATCACATAAGATCTCCTCATCTATAACTTCATCCTCCTCTTCTCTGAATTTCACTTGCTTCCCACTCCTAAGAGTAATAGCATTCAAGCCCTTAGGATTGATAACAGTGTTGGAGGGGATTGCGCCACTGCTCCTTGCTCCTTGCTCACTCATGTTGTTGGACAACTGAGTTACATAGGAGTTGATGTTCTCAGATTTAGTCTCCCATTGCTCCATCCTCTTTTTCAAAGCATTAAATCTAGCATCATTCTTGGATGAGTCTTGTTGAATTAGTGAAGCTAAGGAGTTGAACTGAGTATTGTTAGCAGTCCTTTCTTCCTTTATTAAGGCCATCATATTTTGTAGGAGTTGATTTGTTTCATCCTTAGGTGGGACAGTTAGGGCTTGAGATTGGTTTTGGAACTGGTTTGAAGATGGACCAGCTCCTCCACTCTTCTGAAATCTATTTGGAGGTCTACTATCATCATTCCTCCAGCCCAATCGAGGGTTTGCTTTCCATCCCTCGTTGTAAGTGTTGGAATAGGGGTTCCATTTTTTATTTGGATGGCCTTGGAAGACTGCACACACTTCCTATAGCGGCCTGGACAAACGCTAGAAATATGCATGACTGATCCACATGTTTCACAACTAGGCGCTGTAATGTCCATAGGAGCGGATGGGCGATGCACACTCATATTCTTCAATTCAGCAGTGATCAAAGATAATTGAGATGTCACTTGGCTTCCCAAAGAATCTACTTTTGATTCCAAAGCGTCCATTCTCCTATTGTGCACCGAAGCAGCTCCCACCTCATGCACTCCTCTAGTATCTCTCACACCATGTTGTTGATGATTCAGGGCCATCTTCTTTATCAAATCCCAAGCCTCCGCAGCAGTGAAGTCTATCAAAGATCCTCCTGATGCAGCATCCAACATACCCTTCTCTTGGTTCTTCAACCCATCATAGAAGTACTACACCAGTTGTTCATCCGGGATTTGATGATGTGGGCACCTTGAAAGTAGGTCCTGAAATCTATTCCAGTAATCATAGAGAGATTCATCATAGTCTTGCTTGGCAGAATAAATCTCCTTCCTCATTGATGAAGTACGAGAAGCTGGAAAGTATTTCTCCAAAAACGCCTTCCTTAAGTTCCCCCAACTGTGGTATGCATCAGCTACATGTCTTGGGAGGCTCATGTACCATTCCCTAGCTTTTCCTTCCAAGGATAGATGAAAAACCTTCCAAAGCACTTGGTCCAATGATGCTCCCACAGGCTTCATACTCTGACAAATCATGGAAAGAGATTGCAGATGGAGGTATGGGTCTTCTCCTGTCAAGCCATGAAATTTTGGAAGAGAGTTAATCAATAAACCTTTAATCTCAAAGTTAACTTCAAAATTTGGACAAGCCACAGTAAAAGGATCAAAATTTACATCAGAAGTTGTGGCTTCTCCAATTGTCCTTCTCCTAGGGTTTCCATTATTTTCTCCTACTCTCTCTTGTTCTCCATTCCCTCCATTGCCTCCATTCCTCACTTGGTTGGCATTGGGGTTAGGATGAGGTTGGTTTTGTGGTAATTTAGCCATTATCTCTTGGTCAGTAGGCTCACTCTCACTACTGGATAGGCTAGATTCCACAGAAATATTCTCTTGCTCAATCACTAACTTACTTGTCCCCTCAATTCTTTTCTCTCTTCTTATCTCTCTGAGTCTTCTCTCAATCTCAAGGTTATAGGGCACAAGTTTTGTTTTCCGTGGCATGCAAGATAAAAGTCACAAGAGAAAGAGCAAACAAAAATGACTTGTAGCACACAATGTCAACTAAAAGCATGCAATGTGATGAATGCAAGTGTATGGATAAGTATGCAAGTGTATGGGTGAGTTTGAGTATATATGGGTGAGTATAGGTATGTATGCACAGTAAAAGAAGCAAAAAATGTAAGTTTCAAAATTTTCCAGAAGGGTTCGCCGCGGCAAAATAAGATGTTGGCCGCGGCGAAGGTTGACAGAGGTGACCAGATATCTGAGTGCAGGGAGTTGGCCACGGTGAAAACAGAGGTTGGCTGCGGCGAAAGTATCCCAAGAGAAATCCTTCAGTTTTTCAAAGAGTTGGCCACGGCAAAATAACAGGTTTGCCGCGGCGAAAGTATCCCAAGATGATTACTTTGGTAATTCAGACAGTTGGCCGGAGCGAAAGAGAATGATGGCCGCGACGAAAGTTGACAGAATGCTTATCAGATACTGGACTCCACTGATGCAACGTGAGATATGCTGAAAATCAAGAAAATCAGTATATTTGTTTGTATTTCCAAAAATGTTGATGCTATGCAAGATGAAAACCTATACTATGAACAAATATGCAACTAAACTAGCTAAGATGCTACCCAAAAAGATCAAAACTTCAATTGTCAATCAAATAGCACAAGCTAACCTAAAGAACCAATTTCTTGGCTCCCTGACAACGGCGCCACTTGAAAGAGAGACTTTTCTTATCGTTCGCTTAGGGGTTCTCACTCAAAATTAAGTCCAAGCTATGCAGTATAATGCAAACTCGGGTCGTTTCTCTTTTGGGAGCCTAAATTAATTTTCTAAGTTAAACTTAATGCTATGCAGAGTAATGAAAAGGGGTTTTTGGGTTTTTAACATTTAATGAAATGTGCCAAAGTTAAATGCAATGAGAACAAATCTAAGATACTATGTTTTTGGAGTTTTTAAGATAATAGTGATGTAATGGAAATGAATGATAGGAAATCTCTTGAAAATGGTTTTGATGCAATCATAGTTCACTTAAATATGGGAGTTTCACAAATCATTAGGTTTTCTTAATCAGAACCTCATTAACTCAATGAGTCCAAAGCTTTCATTAATGAACTCATTAATGAAAGCTTTGTTTAGCTTCCCTAATGTGTAAATTTGGAATGATCATGCAAATGGCTTAATGTAACACACAATAAACTCAGAACCCAAACACAACCATGCAAGATAAGAGAGAATAATGATAGTTACAATAAGCATATATGCAACTATATATATTTAAGCTCATAGTTCAACATAAATCAATCCAAAAATACAAATGCTAATCAGTAACCACTGATTACAGAATCAATCCAAGCATCTAACTAAGACTTTACAACTCCTAAACCTAGGAAATCTTAAATGCCTAGCTAAAAACTAAAGATTAAAACTAAAACTCCCCTTTTGAAGCTTTGGAACTCATGCTACTCCACTATCTTCAAGAGTTGAGAAGCTTAGCTCATCATAGCCTTAGAATCAGCTCCAACCAGAGGGAGTTCTTCAGCCATAACAGTAGCAGATGGAAGAAATGGAAATGGATAAAGAAGTAATGCAGGAAAATTGAAGGTGAAGAAGATGGAAATGGGGGATTAGGGTTTCTAAGGGAGAGATGAGAGAAACATAGGTGGTGGCTGAATAATGAGAGTCTGACCTCAACATACCCAAAATAGGGTTTCTAACCCGAAATTTGTGTGCATGGGTCAGTTCCTGGGGTGGGTAGGTCAACATTTCCTGAAATGGTCGGGTATGAGATTTGCTGATACGAGTGGTTCGCCGCGGCGAAACATGGTACAAAGCCTTGCTTCTTGACGGACGAAGTTCACCGCGGCGAAGTATAAGTGTGCCGCGGCAAACTATAGCAGAGGATCCTTCTTGCTTCTTGTGCCTTGAGTTCTTCAATTCTGGCCCCAATCTCTGGTGTCCTACAATAAAAAGCAACAAATTGAAGTATCAATTGTCCTAGAAATCAATTGAATACAATTAATAACCAATTATGACAATTTTAACCTCAAAAAGACACTAACTTAAAGTAAGGACTCTTGATCTAAATTAAGCACAATTATCATTAAAAAGGGCTAGAAAATACCACAAAATCATGGATAATGTAATGAAAAGATAATAATATCTTGAGCTCAATCAGTAAGGTTAACTCTGCGAGCCTTGCCTTAGCCGTTATTACTCTTTCCTATGGGAGGACGTATTGCTCACACTAGAGCACGTCACCTCAACCACTTTCCTGGCCTTGATGGAGGACATAACACTCTCACAGGTACAGTGCCAACTCTACCGCTTCGAGAGCATGCATTGTTACCTTCATAATGTTGTCAACCCCATCATAATAGTTCCCCTTTCTTCTCTTCAAAGGACAACTTGCTCTTGGCAAAGCAGCGTCAACTCTGTGTCAAAAAACCACCTCCTAATTTGAGAGATATTCTATGGCCAAGACTTGCTTGTTATTTAATCTCTGTCTTGGCACATTCTTACATGCCAAATCCCTATTAAGGGAGCCTCTCAACCTGACCTGCTCGATTATCCTGGCAATTGCATTTGTCTGTAGGGATCTCATCTCTCAGATTCCCTACTGGCCTGAGTACTATGGTTGCACTTCTCATAGATGCCTTAAGGACACAAAAGAATACTATTTAGTCCCTAAAGTTATCAAGTATTTACGCATCATCAAGCTCTAAGCATCTTTGGGAACTTACTCATCTCTCTATATGGATCAGTTCCCAGTACAACCATTAACTTTCACATTCTCATCTATTTCTGTTCAAATCTATCCTCAAGAGGGATCATGCCTGACTTTATTCTTTCTAACTTTCTTTACCTCTTGACTAATTATTCTTATGGTCAGGTATTGATCACCATACCCTCATCACATCACACAGCGAACATTTAATCACCTTATTGTATGGTATCTAGGTCAGGCACCAAGGTCATCATTGACTCTTTATTCATTATTATCTAATCTCTGTCCCTCTTGGTTTACTATCCCTTAGAGATTTTTACCTTTATTCAGGGATTTGAACAAACCTCAAGTAACTTGTCCTGTTACCTTGCCTCCATCGAGGTTACATCGATGACTTAGATTTTAGGTTGCCACTTGTTTCTCCTACTGGGGCACTGACTCATACCCCTAACTGGCCTATTGCACTCTTAGCCACTACCCTCTGGGGGAGTCTTTTGACTTTGACTCATACCCCAATCAAGCTTTCTCAACTCAACCATTCTTTTCCTGAACGGGAGTCTCTTAACAGTGACTACTTATCTCTTAGGTTACTTTTTGTCATTCCTTACTCCTCCTCTATATCCATTTCCCATAGAGAAGTCACCTTAGTTTCATAACCTTAGTTGGACCAATCTTGGTAACCTATCACTTTCCTAGATAAGGATTTAACTCATACTAGGATCTGCTTGAACCAATACTCTGCTTATACCTTTGTATTATACCTTTGTTAAAACCTTTACCAGAGCCTCTGTTCTATTTAAACAATTGCCAGAACCTTTGCTCTGATACCAAAATGAAACATCCTACCTTTAACCCCTCAGAGTGCGCATTTGTAAGCGTTATGGTTCAAGCAGGTCATGACATAAGCCCGTGGATTTAAAATTTTCAGCACAACTACTCAAATTACTATTCACTATTTAAATTCATATTTGGGGTCCAATTTTAAAAAATCATAACTAATTCTATAGAAATTGTATCTCCTTGTGTACACATCCGATTGAGGCGATCTACCTCTAATTTTAAAGCTTGGGATGTGTACTATGAATCTGTCAAATTTTGTGGCTTAACTCATTCATTTGATAGGTCAAACTGGAGCTACAAACTCACTGCTCCATGACCTACGTTTTATCCCTTAACCTCTTTTTACTTTAATTCTTTCTATTTCTTTGGCATACATAAAATGGACTTACGCTTTCTCAATCATCCTCATACATTTCTATTCCTCCCATAAATATTGTAATTAAATACATGACATTATTAGCATCTATAACATAAATTACATAATAGGAGAATTACACATTGAATAATAACATCATTCATTAACGTCAATAATTCTCCACTTTCTTCTCCTTGCCTCTCATGCCATTATTGCCCACTATTGATTGACCTAAATAGTTGGTTAGGAAAGGGTGAGATTCGGGAGAATCTCAGTAGCAAACACTACCCATAAGCATGCAAGATATAATGCACATGCATGACATGTTATAACATTAACACATGAATGCCATGGAAAGTAAGCTACACCATTTCATGCTTTCATCACATATAGCCAAGGCAAAACATAATATAAACTCGCAAAAATAACTTTGTAAACATTTCATCATAGCTTAGTCACATCATGGCAACACAACCACATCATGCAAGCATACATATCAAGCACACAATATAGGTAAGTTTACTACCTTGTAACATAGCTTTTGAAACATCCTTTCCTTGTGCCATTACTTGTATCTATGAGCCAAAATTTGGGATGTTACACGCCACGGTGCCTCAGTGTATCTGCCGTAGCACCTCTTCTCTCTTACTCTTGGTGTAAAGCGCCGCAGCGCTTTGCGGAATCTACCGCAGCACCCTTTCTCCCTCAGCTCTCAGTAACTTTCGGTCACAGAGGCCACAACACCTTAAGTCAAAGGCCGCGGTGCCTGGACCTGATTCTTACTTTTGCTATTTTAGTTCAATTCTCTTAGTTGGTTTTGGTGCATGACCAGGGACAAAACATTTTATCCATTGGATAGGGAGATAAAATTTTATTGGCTGGTATTCCTGGTATTGCCCCCTCCATTTGTACACATAAAATTTTACTTCATGAGGGAGCAAAACCAGTGAGACAACCACAGCGTAGGCTTAATCCACTCATCTTAGATGTTGTGAAAAAGGAAATGAATAAACTTTTAAGTGCTAGAATTATATATCCAATTTCAGATAGATGTTGCAATAAGCTCTTGAATAGATTGTTCTCTAAGTTTGGAGTTACTCACAAGATGTCCACAGCTTATCACCCCCAGACTAATGGTGAGACAAAAGTTTCCAATAGAGAAATTAAACAGATTTTAGAGAAGATAGTTAAACCATCAATAAGTAATTGGAGCATTAAATTGGAAGAAGCACTGTGGGCCTACAGGATTGTATATAAGACACTCATAGGAATGTCACCCTATAATTTATGGAAAAGCTTGCCATCTCCCGGTTGAACTAGATCACAAGGCCTATAGGGCAATTAAAGCATGTAATTTGGATTTTGAAGCTGCTGTAATGGAGAGGAAATTGCAACTGCAAGAGCTAGAAGAAATTCGAATAGAGGCATATGAGAGCTCTAGAACCTACAAGGAGAAGAGTAAAATCATTCATGACAAGGGAATTATGAGGAAACAATTTCATATGGGTGATAAGGTCCTGTTATTCAAGGCTAAGTTCAAGTTTAAACATGGAAAATTGAGAACCATGTGGGATGGGCCTTATCTAGTCACCAAAGTATACCCTTTTGGAATAGTTGAATTGATAGATGAAAAAAGTGGCCAAAGTCTGAAAGTTAATGGTCACTTACTCAAGTTGTATCATGAGCACTTCCATCCCTCATGAGGCTACAAGTTGTTTCTTCCACCTTATCTCATGTGCTTTTATCTGCATATTTGAGCTTGTTAAAAGAATAAGTGTCGAAGAAACCCTTTTCTGTTAGCTTAGGTAAATCTTTGTTTGTTTGTTTTCGTTTAGTTGGTTTTTCCCTGTTTGCACAGCTCATTAGTTTTGTATTGAGGACAATACTTTGTATAAGTGTGGGGGAGATAAGTATTACTGATGGCTTAGTTAGATGGTGATTGTATTGATATTTGAGTTGTGATTGAAGTAGTTGAGCGATGTTTTGCAGCTGAACATGTGATTTGATTCAAAGGTTTTTGGTTCTTAATAATGCATTGCATGTTCCCATGATTTAAAGTTGTATTTGTTAGATTTGAATGATAATTTTTGTTGGAACATTCAGTTTTGTGAAAAGCACCACGGCCCTCTGAGTAATCTGCCACAGCGCCTAATAGAAGTTCAGTTCTGTAAAAACCGCCGTGGCCTATTTTGAAAGGCACTGCAGCGCCTGTTCCTGAATGAAGGTGAACACCTCCTTTTTTATGCTGAAGTGTCACTGACTAATTGTATTGTGCTGATTTGCTCACCTAACACTTTGTTTGTTTAAAAATCTTTTTAAGAATCAATTCATAACCCTTGATGTATTCTTGCAAGTTGGAAATCCATTTTGCAATCATATCAGAATCTATGCCTAGTTGATATTATTCTTGTTACAAACCTTTAACATAGGACTGATTTTGGCGGCAATTAAGTTAGTGACTAGATATGATTTAATTAAAGTAAGTGGATGAGAGAAAACCCACATGGAAGAAATTTGAGCCTATATGTTTTGAATTTGTGTGCATACTCTCTAGTCCTATAATCCTCTAGAACTTGTCCTAATTCTTTATTGAGACTGCATTTTGATATGAGCAAGATGCATATAATAGAGGCATTTTATTCTAAACCCATTCTAACCTAAACATAAACCCTTTCATGTTTAACCTTTGTTCATCTCTTGGAGCCTTCACTTTCATTTCATTTATTGTTTTGTAGTAAGTGTTTTGCGTGAGTTATATTTGGTTTTTCACTTTGAAAAGTGCATCATGAATGTCTATATCTTTACCTTCTTGGGTTTGGGTGCCAATTAAAAAAAAAGTGGAAAAAGGCAATAAGAAGAAAATATATAAAAAGGGGGGGAAAATGAAAAAAAGAGAGAGAAGAAGAAGAAAATAAGTAGTGATAAAAAAAATAATTTGAAATAAGGCATTCCATGGTAGTTTGAAGAGCAAGGATTTTTGTTCCAAAAGTTTAAATCTACACATTGGTGTCTTTTCAAGATTATATTTTAGCTTACTCTAAGTTGACATTTCGCTACTCATGCATTTCACTTGTTAGTTCATTCATTCCATCTTAGCCTTTTCCAACATTACAACCTTAAGAAAGACCTCCTGATGCATTGAACTCATATGGTACAGTGGTGGAGATGTTGAGAATTTTGACAAGCCTATGATAGGACATAGACTAGTAGAGAGGAGAGAAAATTTAACCCCTCGTAAGTAGAGAGAAACACTTTAATCTGAGAGTCTCTCATTTCACTTGTAATGATTGAGCTATGTTTAGCATTAATTTTCTTATCATTAATGGAAAGTTTTATGGGTTGGCTTGCTCAACGAATAATACAACTAGTGTATGGATTTTGATTTTGATTGCATTTGGATTGGCATGTGTTCTAGGAAGTGAATTGGTGATTCTTTGCCCAGAGTGCAAAGTGTTAGTGTGGGGGAATTTGATATCTCTCTATATTTCATTGATTCTAGCATGATTTTCATGGTATTCTATGTTTAATTTTGGATTTAATGGTGATGAAATAGTACTAATTACTTGGAAGGAGTGTTTTGTAATTTGCCCAGAGTGCAAAGTGTTAGTGTGGGGGAATTTGATATCTCTCTATATTTCATTGATTCTAGCATGATTTTCATGGTATTCTATGTTTAATTTTGGATTTAATGGTGATGAAATACTACTAATTACTTGGAAGGAGTGTTTTGTAATTTCATGAGAATTCAGGTCCAGAAATCAAAGAAACAAACACTCAATGACTTAGTATGTAAAAGTGGCAAGACTCTGTGAAAAGCGCCGCAGCGGATTTAAAGAAGCGCCACGGCGAATTTGGCTCAATAGGCAGCTCAGAGTCACTTATCTAAACGATGCAGTTTTGGATGTGCACCACGGCAGATGATCATAGGCGCCCCGACGGATGACAAAAATCAGCAATTTGAACCAGAAGGCACGTAATAGAATCTGGGAGGGAATAGAATCGGATCTTGGAGCTCTATTTTGGTTAGCACGGGGATCCTGAACTGATTTTTAGTTGGCAGGCGTTAATTACAAGGGAGAAAAGCATTTAGGGGAGGATGGAGTTTTCATATTCAGTTTTTAAGTTTCCATCTTCATCTTCATCTTCATCTCTTTGCATTTTTTGATCTTTCTGGAATCCTCCATCCAGATCCTCCATTTCCCAACTATCACCGTTGCTGTGATGAAGTTCCTATCCTCCAGCTTGAGTCTTTCATCCTCCAGCCTGAGCCATGGTTAAACAGGGAAGAGTTTAGAGTTTATAAGTGTTTAATTTTGATAATATTTTGATTGTGTTGTCAATCTTTGTTTCTGGATTTAGATATCAAATTAAAACTCAAGACATTATCTTTCATCATGCCAAATTTCGTGACTAAACACATTCGGGAGCATAACCAAAAAGTCACGTGAACATGGCAGTGTCAGTGTGCTTACAGCACTGTTAGCTTAATATATACATAACCAAAAAGGGTCCACGAATTTTATGGCAAGACAGCATACTTTAGTCTCCAATCTGCAGCTTGCTCATAGGGGTTTCAGGCCCTAAAATGTCAGATTATATTTGGGGGATGAGATTTTAATAAATCCCAATAGCCAGATCAATCAACCAAAACATTAACATGCATCATTATGAAGCATTTCAACATTAGCTATCATAGGAGAACTAATCTTTTTATGAATAAGCAACCTCAACATACAAGGCTATGGCAACAAATGCAAGGAGCAACCATATCACAACATCATAGTTCAACCATATAATAGCAAGCATACATGCCATAAATAAGAATGCAAAGTTAACATTAATGGCTAATTAGATCCCACTACCTTGATCCAATGCTTGTTGTTTTTCTTGTTGTTCCTTCTTGCTTCCACAAGTGCCAAACCATTACATGGCAATCCACAAAAAGGGCAGCAAGAATCATCAACCGTTCCTCATAAAATCAATAACATAACTCAAGTAACTCTTAAACCCCTTAAAGCTTCCATCTTTGTTCTTGAATTTTTAGAGTTGGTTTCCATAAACCATAAAAATTCCCTCTTGACTCAACCCCACATGATTTTGCATGTAGATTCTAAATGTCTACTTGGATTTAACAAAATAAATTTTCTTCCTTCAGTTTCAGCTTGGCCGAACCATTAGGGTTCAAAACCCAAAAATTGCAACTTTGATTCTATGGCTTCCAACACTTGTTCTTTAGGTTTATCCTACACCATTTTTCATTTTGAACACAATGGAAGCCTCAAAAATTTAGAAAAAACATCCTAGGGTTTAGTTTTGGTCTTGGCCGAACCAAACCTCTTGAAGTTCAACCATGAAAAACTTTTCAAAACAACACTAAACCACTTGAAACCATCTTAAATCATAGTGTTCTAACTATGTTTAACAACAAAACCTCCTTCCCTACACTATACCCATTTCGGCCAGCAACAAGAAGGGAAAAGAAGTGATTTTTCCAACCATACAAATCAATAAAACAAAGCAATCAACATCTTAAGACAACTTACCAAGCTTGGATCTTAGTTGGAAGGTCAAATATGCTTGCTTTTGCTTGATCTCTTCACAAAATCACTCTTTCTCTCTCTCTCTCTTTTCCCTTTAGCACGAAATGAGGTCTGATTAAGGGGGAGGAAAAGCTCATTAATGCTCACAAAATATCCCACCAACCATCATTAATGATATGCCATGTGTCAAGAGCCTCATTAGTCTTAATCCTCTCTCTTAATTAACTTAAATCATAATGTAATTAAATTCCAAAGTCAAGATCCTCTCCATTGGTAGCTTGACACTTGGAAAGCTTTAATTACCATCCATTAAAGGCTTGACAAGTGGCAACTTGTGGGCCAAGCAAAGTGCAAGACTCTACTTCTTGCTTTATCGGTGCACTTTTACTCCGGGTTTAACTTCTTTTCTATAATTACAGTACTCTGGCCTCTGTAATTATTTTCTGTCATATCCATAAATTATTCTCCTTATTTTTATCTTCCCAAATTGCCCTCTTCGTCTCAAAATTAATTTCCCAATCTTAAATAAAATGGAAAACTAATTTCCTTCTCTTAAGTATTTTTCCACATTTCAGAGGAATTGGGAAAAGATATTGGACACTTGAGGGTCTTATTTTAATTCCATAATCTCTTATAATTCCTTGGGATATCATAAGAATTTTCTTGGGATTTTATTCTTCTTAAAAATATTTATTTGGAATTTTCCAAATAAAGACCTTAAACTAGCTTAAATTGCCCTTAAATTCCTTTGTAATTTCTCTAAGGGCAAATTGGTCATAAAACCAATTTTAGAATCCCATATAATTCTCAAGGAACGTTGTCCTTATTTTTTCTTAATTTTTTGAGACTCAGAATTATTTTTCCATAATTATTCTTGACCAATTTTCCTTAATTAGTCAAACTTTTCATAATTGGTTTGTAAAATTATAATAATTATTTTCCACCAAAATTCTTCTATTTCTCCTTGTCATTTTTGGCCTTTAAATATTTAGGAATATTCTTATTCCTAATTGCCATATTACTGGATGTGACATTTCTCCCCCTCTAAATAAATTTCGTCCTCGAAATTTAAAGTGTATCTTATTGGAAAAGTTCAGGATACTTTTCCTCTGTCTTAGTCTCTATCTCCTTCATAGTTCTAGTATAAGACCTTTCCAAACAAC